TATACTGTGACCAGATGAATAAACAAATTGGCTTCCACAATTACGGAGTTGCACAAGGCCTCATCTTAACCAGGAATGTCTCTTAGGAGATATCCAAGCTTCCTGAATCATCTTGTGGTCCCTGAAATAGGGAGCTTTACCTGAAATTCAGATGAGCACCATTTTAGCCCTAGTTTGGAATTCCTATCATTTCCCTGTAACACCTTAAGATACCTTAATTGAATTACATACGGTCCAATTTTCTTAATACAGAGACAGGCTCTGAGTGATCTGTGCTAGAGGAGAGAGGTGAGGCAAAAGAGATTAGTGAGTGGAGTGATGATTGGAAGTGGCAGGGTAATCAATAGGCCCCGGTTCAGAGGGTGAACTGACAAAATTCAGCTGCACTCTGAATGCTATACATTCACTGGCATAAACTCTCCAAGTGAGATTGGGATGTAGGAGGAATGCTACCAAGTCAGATGATTAAAACCCATTTTTCTTCTCTAACTGTCCTTTAAAAATATTATTCCATTTCTCCACCCCACCTCTTATTCAGCCCCTCTTATATTTGAAACATGCAATGAATTTCAGATGAAATGTATTAAAAAGCGCTTAGATGCCATGGTGATAGGCACATTATAAATACCATAGAATAGAGGAGATGAGATAGACAGATTTAAGCACACAGTGAATTCCACATGAAAGATATTAAAATAAAGCTAAAAGGTAAAAAAATAAATCCATTTATAGGAATATTTTGCAATATACTCAGCCATTCAGTTAAAGGCATTGGTTCCAGAGAGATCAGTGCAAGCTCCTGCCAGTGGCTTCAACTTAACATCTCTGGACAGCTTCTGCAGTCACTCCCCATACAACATTTCTAGTGCATTTGCTGGAGTCTAGCAAAGAAAAGCAGTGGCTCAAAGATCCGAATGTTAACGGGGAAGTTTCATATTATTTAATGCAAAGGGGAAAGCTCTTCCAAAGCAAACAGGAAATTTTCTCTCTCTCTCATATCTCTCACCCACTGATATTAATATAAGAGGCAGACATGCCACTATCGTCATGGCAGCAAATGTGGAGAGTGACATCAGGTTGGGAAAGTTTCATCGGGGGCAGGGGGCAGAAATGGGTGGGTATGACATATACTGGTAGACATATACTAGATTTAAATATACAATTGATTCCTCTAGTAATAATTGGTGGAAAGGAGCTAGTCGAGGACCTGCGTAGTACTAAGTATTTGACATACAGCTCAGAAATCCTTTGTTTAGTTATGTGCTCACTGGAAAGGTTCAGCAAGTCAGTTTCTTTCTCTCTGCTTGGGCCTTGTTCCTCATTTGTAACAATGAGACCCACCAAACTGCAGGAGCTAAGTATATGGCACTGACTCTCTGGCAAGTGTGTTTAGGACTGCAGGTGGGCAAAACAATCCTAGCAAGAGGGTGCAGAAGGGGAAGAGTACATCACTTATGTTGTGACGTGTGGTCTGTTGCTTGGCTTGCTTTCTTGCAATATATGCACTGTACTTGGTGGTGTCCTGCTTTTTGACTGTGACACAGCTGTAATCTGGGTTGTATTGGGTCAGTGATGGCCTGGCATCATGGGTGCATAGTATTGCTTGGTGGCAGGTGGCTTGCAAACACATGCAACAGGGGAACACATCAGATTGGTAGTGTTTTCTGTGGTCTCCTGTGCGCTCTAGATGCACCAGGATCTACCACTTGGTCTGCCAGGTTCCACTGGCACAAACAGCTTGCCTTGGGGGGATGGGCAGACCCTGCTTTTTTGGAAGCATAAGATGGCCAACAGGTGTAGTGTTGCAACAATATTACTAAAAATGTTACAGATCTCTACTCAGTTCTTTTATTTTTACAACAGGAGAAAACACAATGGTGGCATTGTGCTGCGCTAAGCACATTTTTTTGTTTACCAACAGAAGACCCGTTTGCTTGAAAAGGATAGTCTTGTGTCCCTGGCACAGCAGCAGCTGTGAAACATCTAAACATAACTACATGAAAGAGTCTATGTTGTCCAAACTGCAGATTGAATCTGTTGAGGTCCAGAGAAACACTTATTAAGTGATCATGTATGACCTTTCATGAAGTCATCATGTCATGTTGACCAGCTGCTCAAATTTCAGAGTTCAGTGCTGAAGTCCACCCCTCCTTTTGTTTTTGTAATACAGTGGTACCTTGGGATGCGAACGGGATCCGTTCTGGAGCCCCGTTCGCATCCTGAATAGAATGTAAGTCGCAACTGCGTGTCTGCACATGAGCGGGTCGCGTTTCGCCGCTTCCGCGCATGTGCGTGACATCATTTTGACCACCTGCGCATGCCCGAGCGGCAAAACCCGGAAGTAACGCACTCCGTTACTTCCGGGTTGCCACGGAGCACAACCCAAAAATACTTATCCTGAAGTATATTTATTCCAAGGTATGACTGTACTAGAAAGTTGTGTGGTTGTTGTTTTTCTCCCACAGTAGCACAAATGAACACTGTGGCAAGTGAGTGAGGAAACGCAGGTGAAGACTGCTCTCCTGACTCTCTCTTTTTTCCTGTTTCTTATGTGCAAGTAGGTTGTTGCTGCTGGACTGACCTAAACAGAAATAGATTCAAAACAGTATCACTATATGGATTTTAAATCAAAGGATTGTGCCATATAGTACATTTTTTCATATATGAAATCAACACTGCACACCCATGTGCGGTGCATGATATATCTTGCTTGAGCTCTTAAATGTTATAGCTATTATTAACTATAGTGTAGCCATGTTATCTTTATATATTTGAGTGCAAAGCTGAAGAAGTTGCAGACTGAGCTTGGGAGACCTGATTATCTTTTGTTTTCCAAATGTGAGCTGTTTAGTTTCTAAATCCTGTCTGTATGTATTGGTGTGTGACTATTGTTTGTACATTACATTTAATATGGAGAAGAGAAAGTGGAAATATTACAATTCTTTTACTAGAAGGGGCATGGATCTAGTGTGAATTCCAGAAGTATGAACTCAAGTGATAACATTTAGCTTATGGTGATTCCACAAAACTATACCAATCACATAAGGTGGTATTTTAAGATTTCAGAGGTTTATATACTATTTTGTGTGACATATACATAAGGCCTCTGGATAGAAATTCAACTTTTGCAGCTAAGACATCAAGGGGAACATCTGATTGTAAGAAGTGGACAGAACTGTCCGCTTTGTTTTCTGGTGTGGAGACTGTCAAGGGAGCATGACAAGGTGCTATGTTTTGGAAGGTAAGATTTATTTTTGTTCATAGAAAGGCTGAAGTTTAAAGGCCTTCGTTGCCTTATTTTATCTCTGTTTCTATTTATTAATCTCTACGTGGTGTTAAAAAGAACTTTTATAGGAGTATGAAGCTTGGAACACCTGCCAGAGAGTTCTAATATAGCCCACACATGAGCAGCTTTTTACTGTATGTTAGTGCCACACTTTATAAAGCAGCATTTGATTTTTACATTACACACTGTAATGAAAAGTTTACCAAACCTTATTTTTAACTACCTCATAACCCCGGCTGTTTCTAGACATGTTGCAGTAAGATAGCTAATTCTTACGCCCTGAAAAAAAGAAAATTCCGTACATATTTTTGTAATTCATGAATTGTGGTGCTGACATTTACCCTTCACAATGAAAGGTGTGTGGGGAGGGGATATGAATAATCAAGAACATACACATGCACTAAATATATATGCTGGGGGTGGGTAGTTACTTGGAAATGCAGGGAACACATCAAGTGCTTATCTCAAGTGCTTATCTGGTCAAGAAGGGTCCCTAAACCCAGCTTATAACAATGGCAAAGCAAAGAAACAATATGACAGTCTTAATCAGAACATTGAATTTAGAGCACATGGGAGAAGTAATGTACTCCTCTCTCTATTCTGTACATGCAAAGCAGCAGTATATCCACCCCTCTTCACATGGGAAAATGCTGTCTATTTCCAAAGAATCAATGGCTATTAGGAGTTCCCGCACCCATCTTCTCTCTCCTGCCTAACCAACCTCCCTCAAAAAGGATGGGGGGGAGGAGAGAACAGACAGCTCCTCTTTCTTCAGCTTTTAACAGCTTTAGGAGGTCAGGATGCTATTGGTTCAGCTTTGTGTGTGATATGGAGCTGTTCACTTAGCAACAGCAAGCAGAAGAAGCAGACAGCCACACCACCTGGTTCAGTGAGCGTCTGAGTGGTTTAAAAGATTTGCTCTTCTACCGCACAGAAACAACTCGGCTCCGAGAAGCATTCAGCATCTCCTGGGGCATCACGGAGGGATGTGGTGTCCAGCACCTTGAGTTAACATGTCCAGAGAAAGGAGCCTTGACACAGCACAATTCACTGTTAATAACAGGAGGCCTTAAAGCTGACGGAAAGAAACTTCGTAGAGCACATTTTAACATAGGATGCAAAAGCACAATCTCTTGGCCCAAAAAGAGAAAATCAAGAGGAACAGATGTATTAAGAGAAAAAGATGTGGACAAAATTATTACTAACGGTTTTCATAAACCACTAGCAGTTTGTTTCAATGTTCCTTGTCCAAAGCAGCTTTTCTCCAGGAAACTACATGGAAAGTTCATCAGACTTCAAATTCTACATTCCAAGCCATATCTCTTATCACATTATATTTTAGTCCCTTGTTTTCTGGATTGTTTTGTTTTATCAGAGAAAGGCGAACTCTGAAATGCGCTAGGAAAAATAACCCGATCACAAAGAGATTCCCTCATCTAAATCTAACTTTCAAAATGACACCACCATCCTCATCTACACATCAGTTCTCATAAACGAATAATCTCTTTACCTAACAGTTAACCCCACACAGTCCAATACTTGGGGTGACTTAGAATCTGTTTGCACCTGCTGTTCTTCAACATGCTGCAGCTCATCATGATCCTCTCCCCTGTGAAAAAAGGCACTAACTTTTCCACAATATTCCTTCAGATGTCTATACAGGTGTAGCAGAAATGTATACCCTCATCCTTTATGGTAAATCTATTTTTTTTAAAAAAAAAAGTGACAGGAGGCGGCATTTTAGGAAAAGAGATTATATATGGACAGCAAAACAAAACAACAAAGAAGTTGAACAAGGACACAGTGGTAGTCTGGTCCAGAGCTACCCACAGCCAGATCTACACTAGTCTTTGTCAGCGACTGCCAGAAGCCACCTTATCATGAGCAGTCCCAGTGACTGGCTCCCTAAGGGATGCCTTTTATAAGCCATGTTAACATGGATACTTGAAGGGTCCCTTCTAGTATCCAGCTCCTAACCTGCCAAAGGCTTTAAATTAGGGACAGTGACACTCCAGATGTTGTTAGAGGAAGGGTAGTAGCTCATCAGCAGAGAACCTGCTTTTTATGCAGAAGGGTCCCGGTTCAAACCCCAGCACCTCCAGGTATGGCTGAAAGAGGGCTCCGCCTGAAATTATTGAGAGTCGCTGCAAGTCAACGTAGATAAAATTGTGCTAAATGGACCAACGGTCTGACTCAGTATAAGGAAGCTTTCTATCACCCTATGCTAGATTCCCATCAGCCTCAACCAGCATGGTCAATGGGCAGGGATGATGGGACTTGTGATCCAGGAACATCTGAAGGACCACAAGTTCCCCATCCTTGCCTTAAAGCCTAAACAAACCAGTAGCCCAGACTATTTCTGGTTCAGCTTATACAGTGGTATCTCGGGTTACATACTCTTCAGGTTACAGACTCCGCTAACCCAGAAATAGTGCTTCAGGTTAAGAACTTTGCTTCAGGATGAGAACAGAAATTGTGTTCCGGCGGTGCGGCAGCAGCAGGAGGCCCCATTAGCTGAAGTGGTGCTTCAGGTTAAGAACAGACCTTCAGAACGAATTAAGTACTTAACCCGAGGTACCACTGTACTATACATGTAAGCAATTGCTCATGTAAGCAATAAGTCCTCTTTATTAACTCTGATTTGACCACAATTAAATATATTGATGATATCATGCTACAGATGTTTCTACCATTTTCAGTATGTTTGCTAAACCAAGAAGACTCTGCTTGGCTATTAGTAACCTGGAAGTCCTCCTCCACCCACTCCAAGTAAGAATCCACCAACGGTGTGTTATTTTATCCTTTTAACCCTCCTTGAGAAAGTATTTTGTTAGATTTTCCTCACATTCAAAAATACAATAGACATACTATGAAGGAGAGGAAACAGTACTTCCTCAGATAAATCATATGCAATTATATATTCAGTAGGAAAAGTAAACCCTGTAATTTTCTAAAGACAGAGAGATGTGGTGCATGCTGAAACTCTTTTATTGAGGCTCAGCAATGCCTTCCACAATAGGCACAGTGTTTGAATTATAAGAAAGCTGTAAAGACTTCCTCCAAGGGTTAACCCACTTAGGAGGCCACACTTACATGGAGCCAAAGCCATGTGGTCTGTAGTATGTGGGAGCTCAAGAAGTAAGTGTGTGATTTGTGGTAGCTCAGAAAATGTGGACACAAGTATGCAATAACCACTTGGCCTGAACAAGAGGTCTCCACCTGCACCCATTCTTGCTTTCCAGAGAGGACCTTGCCCCACCTCTCACTAGACAGGATCCAAGGAGTGTGAGACAACAGCATCTTATAGCAAATACCATAAAGGACAATGTGTGTGATGCATGTATGACAAGCATCTGCCTGGTCCCTGGCTCAATCCCTGGCATCTCCAGGTAAGGCTGGAGATGTAGAAATACTTCTGCCAAAACCTTGGAGAACCACTGCCAGTCAGTGTAAACAACGCTGAGCTAGATGGGCCAATGGTCTGATTTGGAATGAAGCAGCTCTCTATGTTCCTATGAACACTGTGGCCAGCTGGCTAGTTTTAGCATCATCTAGACTAGTTGGAGTCTTGCCTTCATTTAGAAGCCTGCAGTCATTGCTACCCAATGTGTAAAAGTTAAATTTGGATAAGCAGTTCCAGCCCATCTCTCTGCAAAAGAAGAGCTGGCAAGTGAAGATAAAGTAATGACTCAGGAAAATTGAGAGTTCTCTTCTTCTTTTATCTTTAAGTCAAGGGAAGACAACATTGTATTCTGCTCACCAAGGTCTTTTCCCAGAAAGAAAAGCTTCTTTTAAAAAGCCAGCCTGCAAATGAGCTGCCTTGTGGAAGCAGCCTGGCCAGGCATCCATGACGCTTCTGGCCAAGCTGCAAAATGCTTCCAGTGCTCTGGCAAGCAGGATACCTGGCAGCACACAGACTGCTGCTCTGCAAAACCCCCATTCCCACATTTTTCAAGTAGGTAAGAAATAGCAGGAATTCTTTTGAAGCAGCAAAAGACCCCCACTGTTTCTTCTCTGTATCTTGCACAAATGAGGTATGACCCTGAGTCTCTCCCAAGCCTCCTGTGCATAACAGAGGATGCAAGCGAGCAAGCTGGTGATGACCACAGATGATGGCTGACTAGGAACATACAGTAAGCCAGCATTCATGGATCCTGCAGCATGGTGATGTTGTGGATGATCACAGGCTGCATGCCTTGCACCCGCTATGCCTGCATAAGTCTTGGATATATGAGGGTGCCAAAATAGCATTTTTTAAAAAAAGGAAAAGGTGAATTCCTATAACCAAATAATGCCTTTTGCCCTTCGAAGTGACACCTAGCTCACAGGTTTTAAAAAACAAAGCGTCGCAAAGTGTTGAATTGGAAATTATCCTGGGACATTTTCTTGCATTATCTGAAACACTGTACACTACATTCATGAGAAACAAAAATGTAACCTTTTTATTGGTGGCACCATTTGGCAGGCACAGACACAGTTGTTTCCCAAGTGGGACAAGATTGCGTTAAGCTATCAAGAAGAAAAGTAGAAGGTAACGTTGCCAGCTTTAAAAGAGAGAGAGAGAGAGAAGACATATATATTTCACCTTGGTTCTCTCCCATCCCTGAAGCTATGTATCTTTGGTTTTTTACTTCAACAACAACCGGGCAACACATCTAGCAGCAGGATGTTGTACTAAAAACAAGATAAGTCTCTGCTTTTTTCCCTGCCGTTCTTTACAGATGACAGCTCAGTACATGCCCCTGCAATGTTAGTAATATGACACTCCCATCTGCATGAGCTCAACAAGCCAACCAGCCCCAGGCTACATCTTTTTCTGCAGCAGCACAATTTCACACCCTTGCTCAGAAGCTCCAGAGAAAAGGAGTTAAGTGGATCCTCCCATCATAAATAATCAGAGTTCTAAGCAACTGCTGCTCCTTCTCAGTTCATACAGCTAGGATTTTAAAAAACAAAAAATCATGGTAAAAAAGCAGCCACGTGTTTTTTCCTTACCTTTAAAATGGGGTTCTTTTTGGCACCAATCCACAAAGCAATCATCTGCTATCAGGCATATATTTGTAAACAAAGCACCATAATGCAACTTTGTCATTTTACAATTTGTCAGAAATAAAATAGCTTGCTATGCACTCCTATTTGGGAAAACTGAAATAGAGATGTTTTTGCTTAGTACTAAAAGAGCTGCAAAGTAAAAAGTTACAAGGTTGATTCAAAACCTTCCTATTGAAAGGTGCCCCACCCATTAATCCACCAGCAGATCTTTGAAAATATATTATTTTAAATACAAATACTGCAAATGGCAAGCTGGATTTTAAAGGGGCAATTCCAGCCTTTGAGTGAGAGAAGAGGAACTGGATATCATTGCTAACAACACTGGACTGGAGGTAGTGCAAAAGTATCACTTAGAAGAACATGTATTCTTAGCATATGGTGCGGGGGGGGGGAGCATGGGGATGTAATTATATGGACACTTACCTGGAAGCAAGCCCCCACTGAACACAGTGGGATTTACTTCAGAGTAAGCATGCATAGGCATGTGTTGTAAGAATCACTATTGCAATCTATTAAAAGCTGCTAGAAAGCATTTGGTGTAATAGCTGTTTCATGTCACACCAGTGGTAACAGAACAGAAGCTGAGAAAGCGTGACTGCTAGTGTCAAGCGGGCGGGAAACACAGAGAACCCAAATGCTTCAGTTTCTTTTTTAAAGCTTCAACAGCATGATCGTGCTTATCACCTTGGCAATAGAATCCCACAAGGTAGAAGAAGAATGGCAAAAGGCTCCAGGAGTGGCAGAGTGAATCCAGTCCTGCAGATAGGCCCATTAAGACACACCAGTTGGAAGTTATCAAATCAGATCAACACAATTGTGGAATGCCATTCAAGGCTTTATAAATCAGCATGAAGAGATTACAGCTGATGCCCTCCTAAACAAATAATATTGAGGCTTCACCTGTTCCACATAGATTCTTACAGCTTTATGTTTTCTTGAGTTTGCTCATGCACAAAAAATGGAAAGGAATTAATAATAATAAAAAGCCAGCATAGCACCCAAGAACAGTGACTCAAGATCTGTTGTGTATTGTTTGGAGAACTGTTTAATGGAAAAGCTGAAGGCCAACGAAGTAGCTGCCTCTTAAGTGTCCAGGCTTTTGCTCTCCCTTAGTGGACTTTGCAGGTTACAGACCGCTACGTGGCCTTCCTTTCTCACAGTTACATTGAACTGTTTGGCTCTGGACCTAGGACAGGAACAAGCACTGCCAGCTGGGCCATCTGTCTCGTATTGCTTAGCTGCACCTTCAGGACTCAAACAATATTTTCAGGCAGCTCATGATGACAAAGGCTAGGAACTCCTGTGAGTGAGTTCTGATAGCATCTGCCATAATGTTCTCCTTCTCTATAACCAAAGTTATGTTAGGACATAACTTTAAAGCAGCACATGTATATGTGTGTGAACTCTAGTGCACAAACAAAACAATCACAATGGTGTGTTGGCTACAACTGGAGGTTTTAATGTGGAAGGAACAGAGGTAAGGTACTTTTACAAACCACTATTCCCAACCTAAATTACTTTACAGAGGTGTTGTAAGGCTGCCCTAGACACTGTGCTGAGCTTTATGGAACACAAATATAATAAGAAAATAAGTAACTGGAAGATAAATGCATACTCACATACTATATATCTGCATGCCTCCATGTCTTTTAATTAAGATAAGGGTAAGGCAAAACAGCCCTTCCAATGATTTCACAGCCCTCTTTGTTGAGCATAAAAAGGAAATTCCACTTTTGGTTACTTGAAGGTTTTGCAAACAGTGGCTAATATGTCTAGAAATGGGGTGGCAGAGGGGGAAGTACAGAACTATGGAACTACCTACATCAACTGATCAGCTGCAATAGCAGATGCAGTTCATTTTGTCCCTCAGTATGCATTCAAGCATGGAATGCGCGCACCATCGGCCACTCTGCAGCTGGAGGGAGGCAGGGGCCATCTTGGCACCCCCCCAGAGTGGCACCCGGGGCGCCCACCCCCTCCGCCCCCCACTTTGTACGCCCCTGCCCAGGAGTTGCAGTTCATGGCCAAAGTCCAATATGTTCTAGAGTGCAGTGACTGACTACTTAAAACTCTAAGGCCCCCCCGAGCATTATGGAACAGGCAGATGCACAAGCTACAGACCTCAAATAAGCTGCCAATGTTAATGTTCCAGGCAAAAGCAGCCATTAAATAGCCTCCAATCTCAGGATGATTCAAATTATTTTCCTGCAGCCATATCTGATAGTCTATTTTTGCCTTATGCCATTTATCTAATGATAATGTGGAGAAAAGCAATTCTTATGTTAATGCATGATTCGGGGAGTCTGAATCCTCTTAACAAGATGCAGCAACCAAGCCAGACATGTCCCAAGGAATGTCTTTGCTTGGTCCTTTACACTTCACTTGAAATCAGGATACGGCACTGAGACTTGGCAAGATGTAGAAAGAATAAGCTTCCAGTGTGATTGCTGCATGGAAGAGCCCAGAAGCATTGTAGCTTGACGTTATTTATCCAACCTGACTCGCTATGAAAATGCAGCTGAATCAAGCAGTTGACATAAAGGACACTGTTATTTATAATAACCTGTGTAGAAGAAAGTTAGTAAGAAAATCATGCAAGACTTAAGGGGAGAATATAATGTCGTGTGAGCAAAAGCAGGGCCACTGAATGATAAAGCTTTAAAGGGTGACGTATGAAACCTGCCCCATGTAACAGATCCCTTCAGCAGCATGTAAGTGAATCATTAGAGATACCCATCTGAATGCACTAATCACTGAGGGTCAAGAAACAAAGACAGCTTAACCACAAATCTGAGATGATGAAGGAAAAGAAGTGAGGACCAGGAAGAAAATTTGAACCAAGAGCAAGAGGGCAATAAATGACCAAAATTAAAAGAAGATTGATGGCGTCACAAGAAACCGTAATGTGTTCTCAAGAATTATGGCGAACTATGTGCCAAATGGAACAATTTAAGGAACAGAGAGACATAACTGAAGTGCTACTGTCGTGCCTCGAAAGTCAAAATTTATGGGCAGCCCAAAAATCAGGGAAAGATGCTCTGGCTATTATAAATCACTGCCTCTGGGCCAGCAAAGAATTGTGGATTTCAGTGAACTAAGACATGCTTAGGGTTACACCCTGAGCAAGAGCGATTCCACTGATGAAGCTTTACTGACTTTTTATGGTATCTTTATACTTGAGCTTTAGTATTGACACACAAAATACGTTTTGCATCACTTAGTAAAGACACATGCTTCTGTGATCTCAAAGAAAATGGGAGCCACAAGCACTCCACAGAAGGACTTAATAAACTTGTTGTATTCAAGGCAGGTTGAACAGAACAAACATAATCCAAAATAATGAATGAGTCCTAGTAAAATGTATTTTTTGTAGGATAGCCCACTGATACCTCTATGCACATAAAGAAGGTGTTGACATCTCAATACGTATGTAACAAAAGTCTGTAAACCAGGCTCAACCAGGTCTTGATGCAAGGTTCTATTAGCAACTTGGTCACTGAAAAAAATATTCACACCTGTTTGAGAACTTTGTGCTTTCTAACCCAAAAAGGCTGAACACTTGAGAGCTGAATATTTCACATATTTTGCAGAGGCAAACCCAGTTTAGACACTAACAGCACAATCCTGCGCATGCCTACTCAGTAGTAAATCCCACTGGGTAATGAGGCCCACTCTCAGGTAAATAGTATTGAAAGGCTTACCTGGCAGAAAGTCCCATTGAACAAAGTGTGGCTTACTCCTAAGTAGACATGCCCAGGATTGTCTACTATAATCAGGAAGATACAGACCATCAGGGCTCGCTGATCATACGCATATGATAAACTTTTTCACAAAATCATGTTTGATGTATTAATATTTTACATTTTTAAGTACACACTGTGATTAAAGCATCCCAGGTGGACATCTAAAAATGTAGTTCAAAGAGAATGGGGCAGAGTGCAGACACTATCTGTAGAGCAGGAGAGATGATGTCATCTGTACTTGTTGCTTGCAGGGTGAGGGGCTTTTAAGTTTATTGTGATTACCTGCTCAAATTCAAAAAGTGTGGAGACAGAGGAAGAAAAAGTCAAGCCGGAAACTCAGCATAGGACAATGCATGTCTGGTTATCTTATCTATACAAATGGAGGAGAACAAGCAGAGATTCCAGCTTAACAACAAGGCTTGGGGAAAATAAGAGTAGAGCTCTTTCAGTCTGGAGCCATTTTTGCAGACACAATTATAACATTTAACAGCACGTACAAAACGAGACATAGAAATAAAATAATCTCTAGAGGGAAACAAGAAAGTGAGGAAAACAAACAAATAAACAAATCCCATATTTGCTTTTCCAGACCCTACCAGCAGAGTTTTCAGTAACTCAGCTTGGGAAAAACTGCATCTGAGAAGTATGACACTTCCACAAAGCACTTTACTCTGGACTCTCTGCAAAACTTCCATGAATGAACAATACTGTTCATGCATGGAAGTTTTGCAGAGAGTCCACCTGCTGTCCTTTTCACAATGCCATCCCCTATTACTCTCTCATTTAATATGGAGTTACTGTTTTCACAGAAAGTCTAGTTAAATAGAAAATAAGCCGAGGCACCCACCCATACAACCCACAGAGGCTGCGTACAAGCATAACTTTAAAGCACATTCAAATCACATCCCCCCACCCAAGAATTCTGGGCACTGTAGTTTTCTAAGGGTTGCTAGGAATTGTAACTCTGAGGGGAAAACTACAATGCCCAGAATTCCTTGAGGGTAAGAATGTGCTTCAAATAGGTGCAGTGTGGACACAGCTCCACCCCACACACTCATGCACAGACAGATGCATACACACAATTACACACACCAGAGAAAGAAAAGAATATGACATCACTGTAACTACTACCTTTGCAGTTCAGATTTGACTACCTTTACATGAAAGGTAAGTCCCAAATAAACACATTTAGGCCACCAGCTGTGCGGGGGGTGGGGCGGTTGGAGGGGAAGAATGTATTTATGGGGATGATGACTGTGGGGGCATCAGGCCCCTGCAGAGCTTGTTGGAGGCCCAAGGTGGGAATCTGATTAGTTATAAAATCGAAGAAAAAGCAGCCGGTCCCTGGTGGGGCCCCACAACCAGCTTAACCCTTCAAGGCCTGCGGCAAGTGTACCTGTCTGACCTCTCCACTCTGCACAAGCTGGGGGGTGGCTAGCTGTTTTAAGTGGGGTTTTTTAGAAGTAATAAAATAAAATGTTGGTACTCATATCTTGATAAAAGTGCCATGAGTGAATTTACACAATGACTGCCATTGGCAGGAAAGAAAGAAAAAGGAAGGAAGGAATGACAGGAGTCCCTTCTGGTGAGTCCTGCTCGCCATCATGAGATACTCCCACACTTCAAAATTTACCCCGGCACCAATGAAAGAAGTAATGTGAGCATTGGCCCCTCCCAACATCCTGTAGGAATCTAGTTCAACCGTGTCAGGCTATCACTTCAAAATAGTTTTCAGTATCATGTTTATCTTTTGAATTATGTAAGCATTCATTCTGCACTGTGCTTGTTTCTGGGCAATACCTCTCTCGACCTGCTCTGACTGTAATACTTCTATAGAGTATATAGGGTTTGTTACTGAATATTATTGATACTGGATGATATAGTTTGATTGTACTGTTTAATTAAAAAACCGATTCCCTTTCTAGAATATGATTTTTTCCCCACCTCTTGTTCACAAAGGTAAGCTTTCAATAACTCACCTTTGAACTGAAGAATGAGGGCAGGCCACATAGGAGTCGCTAGCACAATTAAAAGCAAAGATTGCTGATGAAAATGCATTGTGTTCTAAGTAAGATGCTGCTCAGCACAAGGCTCAAGGTCTTCCATTTACAGTAAGGTAAAGGTAAAGGTACCCCTCCCCGTACGGGCCAGTCGTGTCCGACTCTAGGGTTGTGCGCCCATCTCACTTAAGAGGCCGGGGGCCAGCGCTGTCCGGAGACACTTCCGGGTCACGTGGCCAGTGTGACGAAGCTGCTCTGGCGAGCCAGCACCGGCGCAGCACACGGAAACGCCATTTACCTTCCCGCTAGAAAGCGGTACCTATTTATCTATTTGCACTTAGGGGTGCTTTCAAACTGCTAGGTGGGCAGGAGCTGGGACCGAAAGACGGGAGCTCACCCCGCCGCGTGGATTCGAACCACCGACCATACGATCGGCAAGTCCTAGGCACTGAGGTTTTACCCACAGCGCCACCCGCGTCCCAGTCCATTTACAGTAGTAAGTGTTTATTTAGAAGGTGATATTTTATTTTATTTTATTTATTTTATTTTATTATTTGCTTCACACTTCTGGAACTTAGTATCTGGCCAATTTCCCATCACTGTCATTCTCTAACCATTTGTTTATCCTTGATCCATCACATGGAGATTACAGAATTTAGGCCTTAGGTCCCTCTTGTGTATTAAAATGTGCAGTCTACAAATGCTGTTTTTTAAATAAAAATATATATTTATATTTGTTATTTATTTGATTTATATATTGCCTTTCATCTAAAGATCCCAGGGTAGCTTGCAAGAGATAAATTACTTTTTAAAGGATCTTAAATCCAGCACAAAAACTGGAATTCCAATGTTATTCACCAATCAAATTCTTTATCAAAACAATTATTTCACTGGCCATTCCTTTTCTGTTTAACAAAACATATTTGGGTGATGGTCTGACTCAATAATATGTTCCTTAGTTCTGTTTTAAAAAAAAGTGGTATCAAGTGTTGTTGAATTATCATTTTTATTTATTTATGTTTTAGCTTGCAGTTTTTAAGTTCTGAATTTGTACTATTTTTGATGTGTTTGTTTTGATTGTATAGGGATAAATCAGGAAGAAAAGAGGTAGATGCAAGGAAGGGGAGCAAATGACAGATGTGATTAAATGAAGTTCTGCACATGACAGAACCCTCACTTCAGCTGAGGGTCAAGAGGACTAAAGGTTTAAAATGTATGTTTAGAATCACAGAGTTGGAAGGGACCCCAAGGGTCATCCAGTCCAACCCCCTGCAATGCAGGAATCTTTTGCCCAATGTGGGGCTTGAACCCACAACCCAGAGATTAAGAGACTCGTGCTCTACTGACCGAGCTATCCCAAAAGGATAAGAAAGAAAGAAAGAAAGAAAGAAAGAAAGAAAGGAAGGAAGGAAGGAAGGAAGGAAGGAAGGAAGGTGGATCTATCATCATAAAATGTGTTCTGCAGTCACATTCTATCCACAAGGAGCAGCAAGAGAGAATGGTTTGATTCACTGAAGGCTAAACTTTGCTAAACTTTTCCAGTCCAATTTAACTCTTACTCAAAACACCCATTTTTGAAAATGCTAACAAATAAATGGATGCCATGATATATACTTGTAGCAGATGCAAAGTTATGCATAACTATTTTTTTTGCATTCTGCACTGCAGACGGGAGTTGAAAACTGTAATGACTTCTATAGCAAAGTTACACCAACATAAAACTGGGAACAGCACGCGGGTCTTGAATATGTACATCCACAGATAGATTTATAGTTAAGCATTTATAAGTACCTTGCCAGTTGACAATTATATACAAACATGCCTTCATATGCATACATTTATAAAGAAGATTTATCTGTTTATATAGCCACCGAACTGGGGATGCAATCAGAGAACTGTAAATAGTCTTTGCCAAGCCGGAGATGATCAACACACACAGGAACTGTTAACTCCTCTGAATGTGATGATTGTGAACTTTAAGCCCCCTGGCATCCGAGATGCCTTTTGTCTGATTTACCAGCACAGCTCTGTCTTACCTAGCCATGCTGCAGTCTCAACCATACTTCAGGAGTTTTGTTTGGGTTAATAACATCTGGAGCATTGCTCTATCAGAACACCTCACATACCATCGGTGACTAATCAAAGCCTACCATCAGACCCATATAAATCTCAGAGAACAAGGTTCCTACTTCAACAAATTCTTCACCCTTTTGCATACAGTCCACTTACATATCCCTCTGGTTATGTAAACTTTGGGATATGTAAGCGACAAACCCGGAAGTGAAGTATATTTCCAGGATTTTGCCGCACGCACATGCACAGAAGCGGTCTCTCTGGTTGCGAAAATGTCGGGATCCGGCCAGACCTCCAGAACGGATCCTGTCCACAACCGGAGGTACCACTGTATTTTGTGTTACAATAGATTGAAAAGCTACAAAACTAAGGCAAAGGGTTTAACAAAGGGGCTTGGTGCAAGCAAACCTCGGAGCATTTGTGCTAGCATAAGAGGTCTAGTTCTCTTATGTTTTCTTATTGCAAGGGAGCCTGTGCAGGAGAGATCCAATTGAACGCTGAAATTTTAATAAAGCAAAGGAAAGCAACACCCCCTCTTGTTAAACAGCATCAAGTGACACAACCTGGTTCCCCTTGCATAACTTAGAGCACAATATTTAGCTCTGGAAAATTCAATCACTGGAATGACTGGTGACACTTAGAGGACCTAAAAAATAACCAGGGGACCTTGGAAAAAAGATCAGAAATGTTTGCAAAATGCAAACAGAAACACCATCTCTGTTTTCTCTCCCTGGTTTGAGCCAAGGAAAGGGAGAAAACACAGATATGAGGATCTTGGGCTAGGCTGGGAATGTGAGGTAGACCTTGAGAAGCTGGAAGGGAGCCATGTGACTCCTACAGCAAAATACTGCTGTGAAAGTGATAGGAAAGTGTGGGTTCCCCCGCAACAGGAGTGCTATCTTGAGTCTTCACAATAGCGCAGTTGTCAAAACGGTGCAGATGTTGCAGAGAAACACTGTGCATCAAGGCTTTTTCAAAGACTTTCCAAGGTAGCTTCCAGTTAAAAACCATCGCAGTATGGCACTGCAAAAGCATTATGGACAAGAGGCATATGTCTCTCCCCCTCCAACATCCCCTGTACTGTTTTGTCTGAGGGCAAAAAGCACACAAGCAAGGCCCCTCTGCAGTCATAAGCACAGGACTTGGCTTACACTGGCTGGATACCTGCACAATTGAGAGCGAGAGACTCGTGCGCCTCTTCCACAACACTGTCTGTCTATCTATGTAAGATTTATTACATGTCCTTCACTACAAGGTTCCAGGGCAGGTTACACCAATATAATAAGATACATGCAGGTCCCATTTTCAAAATGCTTGTTGTGCGAAAATTCACTTATCTTAACACTAGTACCCAAACCTCAATATACACACTGCAGATTCTGAACAACTTGCATTTGCCCACTTCCTTACTTCTTTATGCTTTGCTGGTTGGTGGTGGCCATTTGGGGGCAGAAACCATGCAGAGAGAGAGATCAGACAAATCAGGTTGGTTTTTTTTGCTGGTTGGCTGCAGCCATTTCAGGAAGAAACTATGGAGGAAGTGGGAGGAGATTGGACAAATCACAGATTAGAAACATTCTCATAGGAAATAATGGAAATTGTCAGCTTCTTATGCAACCACTTGCCTAATGAACGAATTCTAGGGAATGCATCATGTTCAAAAAGCGGAGCTGTGTGTGCAATTATAAAAACAAGTAAAATTGTTCCAAACGAAACAGAACAGTACAGAGTCAAACAAAAGAAGTTGGGCCCCACAAAATACCTTAGCTGTTAACTCACGGTAAAGAGTTGCATCTTCAGCGTGCAGTGGAAGCTATACAACCAAGATACTAGATACACCTGTGTTGGAAGGAAGTTCCACAACTTAGGGGCCACCACAGAGAAAGCCCTTTTCTGGGCCACCATACCCTGCACAGCCAAGGAT